CTTTTTGAAGATTTAGGTTTTTTTTTCCAACAACTATGTTAAATGACAAGAGAAAAAAAGTAGAGGTAAAGTGTAAGAGGCCGTTTACCAAACATTTACCGGGTAAGATTTTAATCCACCAAAACGACATCGTATGCAACAATTCACCCGGTAAGCGCTTACCGTGGTAAGAGTCGTCTCCCTCACTTACCAGGTAAGACTCGTGTTCCTTGTCTCGCTCTTAAAGAGTAAGATTTTTTTGTCTTTGTCATTTTCATCCGGTAAGGTAATACGACTTGATAAACGGTTACCCGGATAAGCGTTTGGTAAACAGCCCTTAAGTCTCTAAAGTGGGGAAATTTCTAAAATTTTATAGAAAAAAGAGAAATAATATTTTAATTTTTTTTCCGACCAATAAGAGATGTATAAATTAAAGGCGTAAGATAGAATTCTTTTTTCTTTAATATTAAGTCAAAATTGCTAAAATAGAGTAAGTATTGGAGTTAGATGTAAATTCTTTCGACATTTTTACTTTTCATACTCTATTATAGAAAAATTATATAATAGCTGTCGGAGATGTATGATTTTGTATAAATTCATTAAATTATCTTTTTAAAGTGTATTGTCTAAAACGACAAAATCGAACTTTTGAAAGTAAACTGCCTAAAATTATAACATAGTTGTTGAAGATACTTTTATGTAAACTAACTTCTTTTTTTAATACTAGAAGTCATCAGCGTCTATGAAACCCTCAATTCAAGTACAAATTTGGCTGGTTTAACCAATCATCCGTTGCACCAAAAATCTAAGATTATGTGTCACCAACATTTCATGTTATCACATTATTGTTGAAATGTCTTGTCACGTAAAGACTAACGTGTCAGATTTATACATGTCAGTAACAATTGAACATAGACGTATTAGTTAGAACTCATAGGGTTGCGATAGGAAACTTTATCTATACCAAGTTTGAATCCAGGTGTTGTCAAAGCCTTTGTGACCATGAAAGTTCACATGTGATAACTACATGGTCATACATGGTCGCTCAGGGGATTAGTTAACTCACAGAGTCACAATTACTATAAAAGAAAATTATATCATGAATTTTTTTTTCTTAAGCAACCTGATTAAAAATTTATAGGAAATATAACTTTCTTTTAATTTGATAACACTACAAAAAATTTAACACAACATTATAATTCGCTTACATCTGTATTAATTTATAATTTAATGAACTTTTTTATGATACGTTTTTCTACATTTGATTGTTTTAATTTTAAAACAATAAAAAATTAGGTAGAAAATGGAAAAATAATTGATCGTTAAACCATACAAGATTTCGATAGGTGGGCGATGAGATTTACTCGTGCTGCCAATATTTACTTTAGTTGCTTTAGTGGTTGCACGTTGCACAATCTTGAATCAAAACAAACTTAATACGTGGTCTAATAGGATACAACCACCTGTTACTTCAATACTGACAAAGTTGATCTCCAGTAGTTGAGGAATCCTTAATAACAACCTTATCACATAATCAAATTTGAGATTGTTTGAAGAAAATAGGAAAGGGTTTGTTGCATTTTGACCAAAAATGGGGTGGTGGAAGGTCTAAAGGTGAAAGTGTGAATAGTTCCTTGCCTAAAGGGTCTCGTATGAATTATGGTCCCAGTCGATATATAAACTATCATAACGTTGGCTCAACTAGTAAGGACTCTTTAAACGTATATAAACCGTAACTCTCCTTATTTTGAAGAAGATGGCAATATACTCTTTCTGGTTCAAACTCTCTTGACGTCGTAAAAGTGTAAATAAAGTTGAAATGTCATATATGCGTTGTTATTTAGTTATCGTAGTTAACTATATTATACAAATACAACTTTATTGTAACTTATATTACACAATACGATTTTTATGACAATTATATACGAGTATATGAGAATCTTGATAAAAGTCAAAAACTAGTGTTAAGGGTAATACCAAAATAAAAACCGATCAACCATTGTTATAATTGTTATTGTAATTCCCTCAAATTTCAAATTTCATCTCAATTCTACCAGATTTCATGTTTTTAAATTTATAAATTTTTGAATGCCGAATTATTTGTTTCAATTTTGATGATTCCGAAATAAATGATCTTAACAAATCGTAGGACCCCATGACCAAGTGTTTTATCTTTATATTTTTTGCTTTCTATATTAAGTCGGTAAATAAAAGCATTTGTTTCAAATAATACGTCATAAATAATGTAACGTTTTGATTTAGATTTCATAAAAACTAGGTAATTTTACTGCGTTTCGCATGGCCGTTGTTGATTCATGAAAGAAAGCATCGATAAGTTTGAATTTGACACAATGTGTTAAAAGGTATCACAATAATTTTGTTACAATTTTATTTCTGAATGTTTTATTTTGTTATAATAAAAAGAGTTAAAAATACATTGGTTGTAGAAAAATGAATATATAAGTTTGAATTCGATATGAAGTGTTAAAATGTATCAAAATAATTATGGTACAATTGTATTTCTGAATATTTTATTATGTTAGAATAAATAGAGTTAAAATACATTGGTTGCAGAAAAATGAATATGTAGCGTAAAAGAAGTTAAATTGTGAAATAACAAATAATACATTCTATAGATATATAACTAATTTCTTGGTTTTGGTTGTCTTATTATTATAAGAATAAAGAGAGGTTAATATATTTCTTGTGAAAAATAAAAATATAATTTATAAATAACATATGACAATTCGATATATTATTAGGTGTAAAGCCGAATATTACCTTTTATAATGAAAAATCCAATAAAATTGTGACATGAAACGTGGTTATAGTATAAAATTATCAAATCATGTTTTAGTTCGAAAAGATGGGAAATTATTGTTTTTTTTCTTCTATGAATATCTCGAATCCTAAAAAAATGTAGTAGAAGATAAATAATTAATTGGTTACAAAAACAATCTGCAATCTTCAAAATGAAAATAACAAAATTACCAATCCGAGATATCGAGATTGACTTCAAAGTCCATATTGTGTGGAAAATTGAGGTACATACAATTTCCACGTTTTGTATATCCAGTCTCATGGAGATATTGGAGCATCTAATTAGTTTTCTCGGAACTTCAGAGATGAAGGAAACACACCAGCAACTGATTTTGCCATAGACTTTTCTTGTTCCTTCTTATATGGTTTCTCTAATCTCCTTCGGTTTGCTTTTAATCGCAGACAACAGAGTAGATAGAGAGATCAAGAAAATAGAAGTAAATCACCCATAATTATTGTTTCATATCTTTCTATAGATGCGTAGAAAGATAGAGAAAGGCGTACCGCCAGCTATACTGTCAATCCATAATTTCTTATCGGGATCGAGAGATGGAGAAGAGCAAAAAAGTTTGTGTGATAGAAAGATGTAGAAGAGAAAGAATTGTAACAATAGAAGATGAAGAGTAAAGAAGTTTATGATAGAAAGACGTAGAAGAAAATGAATTGTAACGGTAGAAGATGAAGAGTAAAGAAGTTTATGATAGANGAAGATGAAGAGTAAAGAAGTTTATGATAGAAAGACGTAGAAGAAAATGAATTGTAACGGTAGAAGATGAAGAGTAAAGAAGTTTATGATAGAAATACATAGAAGAGAAGGAATTGTAACGGTAGAAGATGAAGAGTAAAAGTTTTAGATTAAATATAAAACCTAAAATAAAAGGTAAAAATGGAGAAAAAAAGAAGACATGAATACTAGTACAAGGAGATGTTACGTCAACATTGTATGTTTCTGCTTTATAGATATATATAGATTAGAGGTTTACGACAAAATTACGGACGTTCAAGCTTTAAAGGATGTCCCAAGTCCCAACACCTTATTTGTTGTGATTATTTAACTAATTTAGATAGTGATAACTGCATATACGTTATGCAACGAAATCTAAAGAAAAGGTATAACCTTTAGTTATAACTAACGTATATGCAGTTATCACCTCATATAAGACATGGGGATTTAGTTCCCCTTTTGGATCTTTATAAGTTTAGTGGTCAATATGAGAAACTGCAAACTTAGGGAATATAGTGTAATAATGATAAACCTCAAAGGGGTAATAACTGAACATGGTATAAACAATGGGAGTTTCACGGCTCAATATCCAAACATTGAGGACCCCGATGTAATTATAAGTTCAATGGAAAGCGAGGTACCAAAAAAATGAATGAAGTGGGACCCATTAATCTTTAGTCCACCTTGCAATCTCTGATTCACCTTAGTTCCACGTCAGCGTAACGCCGGGTCAAAATGATCCTAGCAGACTGCCGACCCGGCTGCTCTATTTCTTCTGCCAAATTCGTCTTCTAGAAAGTAAACTACTTTAAAATGCCCCAACGGGTTTTAGTTTGGATTCTTTATGTTATTGTATTTTATTATGTGTTATATTAGTTTTTTTCTCTGAATTAAATAATATTTATATAATTAAATAATATTATTGCAATTTTTCTATACACTCAAGCCACGTAAAGAGGCTAGTCAATAGTATCAATCACATAATAATAAAATATAGTTTTTAAGTTTCTATTTACCAAATATTTATAAAGTAAGCGTTTATCAAGAGTTATCATCCTTATTATTTTTCAAGTAAATTTTTAGTTATTAAAATAAATTGTGATAAATGTTTTTTACGTGGTCAACACTTACCAAATAAGCGCCTTCTCCCTCAAATACCGGTAAGATTTTTGCTTCTTGTCATGCTCAAAGGTAAAATAAGTAACACTCAGTAAACACTTAAATGATAGAATTTGGTAAACATTTTTGGAAAAAGTGTTTAGATTTGTTTGACACTTGGGGGTTGTTTACCAAACGCTCATTCGAATAAGTGCTTATCGATAAAATTAAGAATTATCATTTATTTATCGAGTAAGATTTTAATCCACCGATAAAAGTTGTTATATTTTATTTGACTTTTATAACTAAAGAATTTAAACCCTAACGATTACTATTTCTACCTTTCACAAAACAGTTCCAAGACTTCTAACATTTTGTGCTTTCCCACAAAACAAAACAGTTCCTTTGACTTTCTCTCTCTTAAGCCATATCTAACCACCCAATAATATGTGTTAGGCTTACGGATTCCACCATTATTCTATCATATTCACACGAAACTCGTCTCGACTCTAATGATTCTACTCGACGATCCAATAAAACCCCCATTACAATTCAAATCCTTTCCCCGTTCTTCAATTCTTTGAGAGCTTCATATTCAATAATGGCCAACCAAGAAGGGGGAGATTTGGTGACTCAGCTTGTTGACTTGGTCAAGGAAATCTCAGGGTTACCTGACTGCAGAAACGCTGTAAGGAAGATGTACGGAAATTTGATGAGGAGAGTGAAGCTTTTGAGCCCTTTGTTTGAGGAACTCAAAGATAATGAACCACAACTTGATGATGGTGATCGTAAAGGCCTGCAGGCTTTGAGAAATGCTTTGAATTTGGCTTTGGAACTCCTCAAATTAGTCAATGATGGCAGTAAGATTTTTCAGGTAGTTTTCTTAATTCAAACTTCAATTCTATAGTTTGGTTTTGTAATCGAGCATGATCAGTTTGGTGGGTGTCTTTCAAAATTTGTTTTTCTTAACTGTAAATATAATTATAGAAGGACTGTTTGTGGGTTGGAGGGTCATTTTGACTGTTTCAAAGAAGCAAGAATGGTTTTATACATCATTTGGTGACGTTGTATCTTACAATGGTTAATGATTCAAGATTCATGAAATGTGTAAAGTGATTCTTGATTTGGTTCACAAATTTTGTATGATATGAGTTTTGCATACTTCTTTGAATTCTTAATCGTTTTTGAAGTTGAATCCTAGTTTTTGAAGCCAAACCTGATCTTATGTTGAAGTAGAGATTATCAAAAACGTCGATGGTTTATTGTGCGTTTTCGCTATAACCTAACAGCATATAAACTAGCTTCTTGTTCTGTGTCACAGGCGCTGCAATTTGACAAAACTGCAGGCAAGTTTCATGTTGTAACGACACAGATTGAAGAGGCACTGAGCCAAATTCATTATGATAGATTCAATTTGTCTGAGGAAGTTCATGAACAGGTCTCTTTCTTCCAAAAGAGAATGAATGGTATTCATTATGAATATATGGTTTTCCTCTAATTCTATATGACTTAACAACAATGTTGGTGTTTTCAGATAAAACTTGTGCACGGGCAATTTAGAAGAGCGAAAGGGCGAATGGATTCACCTGATTTGCAGCTTCAGAGAGATTTGGCTATGGTGAGCAAGGGAAATGATCCTGATCCTGAAACAGTCAAAAGACTATCTGAAAAGTTGTATCTTACAATGGTTAATGATCTAAAGAGGGAATCGATTGCAATTCATGATATGGCTATATTAAGTGGTGGAGATCCTGAAGAACGCTTTGAGATGATGTCGTTTCTTCTCAAGAAAATCAAGGATCTTGTGATGTTGGGAAATCCCGAAGTTGATACATCGGATGGGGAAAAGAGTATGAAGCATCGATCTCCTGTTATTCCAGATGATTTTCGGTGCCCGATATCTCTTGAATTGATGAAAGATCCAGTGATTGTGTCAACTGGGCAGGTATGATAACTCCCGTTAAAATATTTTCTAGCAATGTTCATAAACCCTGTTTACAACCGAGAGATCATCTAAGATATTGTATCTAGGATGTTCTGTTCCAAGGGTAAAATGTCAGGTTTGCGTACATCTCTGATCTCCACCTCCAGGTGGGATATACTTGTTCGGTTTGGGTCATGTTCCAAGAGCATTTATTTTTGTGTCGGCTTTTGCTCCATCTTCTTGATATCTTGCAGACGTATGAGAGATCATCTATTCAAAAATGGCTTGATGCCGGACACAAAATGTGTCCGAAAACTCAGCAGACGTTACTACACACAGCATTGACTCCAAACTATGTCTTGAAGAGTCTAATTGCTTTGTGGTGCGATAGCAACGGTGTTGAGCTACCAAAATCTGACAACAAACCGAGACGGACCGGTTCGGAGTGTGATCGGACGGTGATCGGCTCGTTACTCCAGAAGCTTGTGATCGGGGACTCGGATGAGCAAAGATCAGCTGCTGGTGAGCTTCGATTGTTAGCAAAAAGAAATGCTGATAACAGAGTATGCATTGCTGAGGCTGGTGCTATTCCACTCTTGGTGGAACTACTATCGTCTCATGATGGTAGGACTCAAGAACACGCGGTTACAGCCCTTTTAAACTTGTCGATAAACGAGGCAAACAAAGGCATTATTGTGAGCGTTGGAGCTATACCTGATATCGTAGATGTTTTAAAGAACGGAAGTACAGAAGCTCGAGAAAATGCAGCCGCCACTCTTTTCAGCTTGTCGGTTGTGGATGAAAACAAAGTCGCTATCGGAGCCGCCGGTGCAATACAGCCTCTTATCAATTTGCTTCAAGATGGGACTCCTCGAGGGAAAAAAGACGCTGCTACCGCGATTTTTAACCTCTGTATCTATCAAGGAAACAAGGTTCGGGCAGTAAGGGCAGGGATCGTGACACCATTGATGAGATTGCTTGAAGATGCTAGCCATGGGATGATGGACGAGGCGTTGGCTATTTTGGCTATACTTGCTAGTCACCATGAAGGGAAGATGGCTATTGCTGAAGCTGACCCAATGCCAGTTTTGGTGGAGGTGATACGAACGGGGTCAGCCCGGAACCGAGAGAACGGTTCTGCGGTTTTGTGGTCTTTATGTGCAGGTGATGTTCGTTCTTTAAAGATGATGAAAGAACTTGGAGCAGAAGAAGTGTTGAAGGAATTGTCTGAGAATGGAACTGATCGAGCGAAGAGAAAAGCTGGGAGTGTATTGGAACTACTCCAACGAGTAGAATCTGTTGAAACCGTGATTGGTTCTTGACATTTTGGAACACATCGTCGTGGTTACAATGAACTTATATACATCAAGACATCCGATAGAATGGTGATTTCTGCTACTAAACGATACAGAAAACGTAAAGGTATGATTCATTTAGACCAGGCTTGTTTGTATGTCAATAAGTTCTAAACTGATCAAGTTTCTTACCTTGTTTTTCCTTTTGTATCGTGTTTGTTATTTGTTCTGTGAATAATAAACCCTTCAAAAGAAACATGAAATTGCAAAATTGTTAGAGCTGGTTACGATCTGTTTGTTAATCGAATCTGGGCATAAACACGTCTTCTTGACATAAATTCAAAACTAATGGCCGTGAGTTGAAAATTTAAGACACAATTTGCTAAGTTGTCGAACATTCAAAGAATCGACGTCAAATCTGAAGTCAAAAAATTGAAATCAAATCTCAAATCAAGTAGAATGTTTCTAAATGTGAAGTTGGATTACCTGAGAAACCACGAAGATCCAAATCGGTAAGTTATCAAACACCTGATCTACAATTTGTCAAGATAAAATCAAATCAATTTCAATCAAACACTTGCTTATTTATTCAATCCGAAAAGAGAACTTAATGAACATTGCAATTTAGATCAAACCTGTTAAGGAGCAAAATTCTGCTCACCATTTGAGTGCTCAGAGGGAGAAAAAAAAAATCAAAAGAAGAAGACGAAGCAAAATAAGAATCGTATAAAAACGCCATCCGTGGGACTCGAACCCACGACCACGTGGTTAAAAGCCACGCGCTCTACCAACTGAGCTAGAACGGCTTCTTGCTTACTCTACATATCATTTTTATTTGTGTAGTTTATACTTTATTATTATTTCAAAAGAAGTTATATTTGTTTACATTAAGACAATTTAGACGTTTGACGACCAATAAAGTAGTTTTATCAAACCCAGTCTTTATGGACCTGTTTTATTTTTTGCTTAATAACATTGATGACTTATTTATTTCATAATTAAACCGTATTTTTTTACGGTTTAATGTTTAAGTTGACGGCTTATTCATTTAATAATTAAAAGTGTTTGATTACGAAAATTCATTGGAATTTTTTTGGTTTCAAACTGATCAAATTTTAAGCTTTAGCGACTTTTAAATATCAAAATCATATAAAAAAACATATTTAAAATAATTTATCAGGTTGTAAAAACAAATAAATAAAAAACTCAAAACTAAAAATCACTATTTCTATTGATTTCCGTATTTCTATCTCTTCCGACTCCAAACCGGTGAACAGAGCACTTCCATAAACCCCCCCTCCATCGACCACCACTTCAATGGCGGTAGCCGCCATAACAACAGCCCTATCCACCTTTCACATCTCCAAATCCTACTCTCTTACCCGAAACCACCTTACCTGTCGTCCATCCTTCACCTACTCTCTCTCCTCTCGTTCCTCTGAATTCATCACCACCTCCGGATTGTCATTAACTGATAAGAAACTCGTTGTTTCATGGATCGAAGACGCTTCTTCGGTTCGGCTATTCCATGTCATGGCGGATGCGTCCGCCGTGAGGTCGCCGACACAGAAGAAAGTGAGATCGAACAAAGTATTGACGTCGGAGCCGAGGTATTCCAAAGCTGCTAGGAGGTTTTACAACGAGAATTTCAGGGAATCCTCGTCGCAGAGGCTCAGTAAGGTCCTCGCTGCTGCCGGAGGTGATATTTTCTGTGAACAACTTATCAATCACGTCCATTATCCACAATTAGGATCGACTTTTTCACGAATATTACATTAGATGTTATTTGTAACTTATGATTTAAGATGCTGTGAAATTATATGCTAACATTTTTTTGTCCGTAGAAAGATTATGCTCTGTGCTTTAGACATGAGATTTGTTACAAATTTCTCAAGAATTTTTGTGAACTTTTTTGTTAGTGGCATCTAGAAGGAGCTGTGAGGAGCTAATCTTTGATGGTCGTGTGACTGTTAATGGTTCTGTATGCAATACTCCCCAGGTCAGATTAATAGCTGATATTTTAGCTTATTCATATTCTTTATATGTTTTTGTAATTGCCATTGGCTACTAGATTCAAAGAATCATTTGTCATTATTCTTAGCGTAATATTGGTTTTTGATCATTCGTGCAGACTAAAGTTGATCCTAAGACAGATATGATTTATGTAAATGGTAATCGCCTGCCTAAGAAGCTGCCTCCAAAGGTCTATCTTGCTCTGAACAAGCCAAAAGGGTTTGTTTTGTGTTTAATACATCCCATTTGAATATTCTTCTATAGTCCATGTATTGGTTTCCATGTGTCTTTGCAGTTTACTGATCTGATACATTGCAGGTACATTTGTTCATCAGGAGAGAACCAAAATAAATCGGTCATATCTCTGTTCAATGATTATATGAAGAGTTGGGTAAGTGCTATATAAACGTCATGTGGTACCTTTGAAATGCTTTTTTTGGATAAAGAAGCTAGATGCTCATTCATTTGTACTGTTTTGCTCCTTGAATGTTACTTGCCTGAATCTACTGACTTTTTATGCAGGATAAAAGAAATCCAGGGCAACCAAAACCCCGGTTATTTACTGTCGGACGGCTAGATGTCGCCACAACTGGGCTGATTATTGTGACAAACGATGGTACTTGTACAATTAGACTTCTGGTGCATCATCTTGTGGGATTATGGCTTTATGGAAAGTAAATGATTACTGGATGCACAGCAATTAACTGATCCATTATGCTTTTCAGGGGAGTTTGCACAGAAAATTTCTCATCCTTCATCTGGTTTATCCAAGGAGTAAGGTTTCCTATTTTGTTAGTTGTAATTTGCTCCCAAAATGCAAAATGATGATGCAATGCCAAGAATTGTTAGAGATTTAGTTTTCTCTAATCAACAAGTCAATAATACGTGCATACCTGTTAAAAAATGCGTGCTCACATATGTGACTTGACACAATAAAAGGTTCAGTTTCAATACCATCAGACAAAGGACTGACTTTTGGATAGGAAAAATAAAATTGTCGACTGTGAAATCCCTTTATATTGGTTATTTTCAATAGGCCTTGTTCTTGGGAAGATCTATCTTCTGTCAAGACTCAAGAGTATGGTTCCGTTCCGCAAGAATTCATGAATCATGCTTGTCCTTGTTCTTGGATATTGAAATTTTGTAGTAGTTCCAGTTAGCGCATCATTCTAAGTTCCTATTTCATTTGAATCTTTTGCCAAAAAAAGTGTCCGAAAAAGCCATCTATTGTAGGTGGAGATACGGAACTGAGGGAGTATGTCAGTATCAGGGATTGATGTTTTAGGGTAGTAGCTTCCCTGAATGAGCTTTAGGTGGAGAGATGGAGGTTATAACTACATAACCTAAATATTTATGACGAATGTTGATGTGGAGTAAAATAAAGCAATTGAAGTCCAGCTTCTGCTATAATAAATCATCAAAACTCAGTGTCGATATGATATAGGTATGATTAACTTAGAGAGGACCTGTTTTAGCATCGACTGCTAATTAACTTAACATCTTCTACAGAACGTTTAACCGTTAGCTATTGATAAGCTACATTGTTGAAGAAATGATTGAATTGAAACTCGACAGGAGAAGCATGCCTGGTATTTAGCTTATAAGAACCGGTACATTCAATCTGAAGTCCATCACTACCGTTCAAATGTGAATTACTATTGTTGGACCCTTTACCCTGCTTTCCATCTTTCGAGCTGACTGTTGATTTTGCTCAAGCCCAGCTATTCTGGCCAATGTGGCTATTATTAAAGATCAAGTTTGAATGATGCTTACCTTTTTTCGTGGCTGAAGGTACATTGCAACAATAGATGGATCAGTCCATAAACGACACTTGTTAGCAATTAGCGAGGGAACAGTCATCGATGGTGTCCATTGTACCCCAGATGCTGTGGAACTTCTACCACAACAGCCTGATAAATCAAGAGCTCGTGTTCGCATTGTGGTAATTTTTTATATTGTATGGAAGAAAAACAGTTCAATGCGACATACATCATCTCCTTTTAAGCAAACCCTGTTATTGTTATGGCCTTTTGTTCTAACAAACAGGTATAATGGTTCATAATTATATGGGTTAGAATGGATAATCAATATTTTCTCTATATGGCTCTGTTAGGATCTCCTTTGATAGTTACCCACGTACAGTTATAGTGGTAACTGGGAAAGCAAGGTACTTGAGCTAATTCTGATGAGATCCAAATGTGTATTAGCCAAAAAGCTATGTCTCGGGATGTGGTAAAACTATCTGAATATGGAAAATTGGTCAAATGGTCTTCTCATGCTGTTAGACTGTGTTACTGTAATGTGAGAGTCTGGCAATTAATTGAATCAACTGGATGTAGGTTCATGAAGGGAGAAATCATGAAGTTCGAGAACTTGTGAAAAGTGCAGGACTTCAGGTAGAGTTCCAATTCATGATCTATGTGCAAACCAATGTTATCATTCCCACTAATACTCCTTTGAATCTGGGTGGGATGTGGGAAGCATATCCATGCGGGCAACCTTGGAAATGAAGAAAAATGGCGTTATTTTGAACTTGTTTCCTATAAATTTCAGATATATTCACTAAAGAGGATACGTATTGGTGCATTCAGGCTTCCACCAGATCTTCTGTAAGTATTCTACATTTGGCTGTTTGATATTGCTATAAAAAGGATGGATGGATGGATTCAGTTATTAATTTGTGTGTGTTATTAATAGGTTTGGAAAACACATTGAATTAAAGGCAGCTCAATTAAAGGCGTTGGGGTGGGACGACAAGTAATTGGAACAAACAGCTGAAAATGAAATCAAGAGAATTTTTTTGGGTTCTTTGTGGGTCCCATTTGTTATTTTAGAATTTAGATGATGGTGGTATTAGGAAAGGAAGAAGATTTTAAAGGTGTAAATCATTAACTCATAAGAATGTTATTTTTTTTTTTTTTACATTTCAAATCTACAACCAATTCCAATCCACCAAGCCTCAAACCAAATGAACATTATTTTACAAGGAAATACATACTACTTACTTACGATATCTTCAGCTTATATGTCCACAAAAAGAATACAAAATTGATTGGAAAAAGAAGATTGAAAACAACACATATTTAGAATAGCTCCGGGGAGAAGGGGCTGTCTGGGAAAAGCATCAACTTGAATGATGTATCGTTTCCATAAGCCGAAAGCTTAAATAGGTAAGATATCGGCCATCCTAGCTTTGGCATCGTCTGGAACTTCCCGACCAGGCACTTGCACTTTCAGAAGATTGTAGTACCTACAACAAGGTGGTTCATCAGTTTTCCTTGTCATTTCAAACTTACTATATTATGTAAGAGTAAACTCGGTCTTCAGGCCGGACAAAACCCCTACACCCAATAAGCTTCCACATTTCTACTTTAGTTTGTTGTAGAATAAATGTCTTTCCAATTCTACCTTTAATTATAAGATGAAGAAATTCATTACTTCCTCTATTAACAAGGGTAAAATTGTCATTCAGTTAATTAAAAAGGATAATAATAGGGTGCCTTTTTATTGTAGACATTTAGGATGGAGTAATTGGGAGTACAAGAAGTGCAGAAACGAGCTCAGAAAGGACATACTCAATGGGAGTGAATAAGCGGTCATGCTCTGTAATGAAAGCAAGCAAGGCCTGCATACAAAAATATACATCTGTAAATTTCCAAAATAACAGCGTGGATGTCATTGAGAAATGCACATTTCAATAAATTACCTCAACTGGCATGTTTAGCAGTTCGTAGTAAGTTCGAACATGATCCAACTTCGTTTGCACAGATTCACTATTGATTGAAGGGATGGCCGACAGAGCCTATCAGATTAATAATCATTTGGATTGTTAGGTGCATCATAAAGCTACACAATTGAAGGTCTTTTTTTTCTTTTTCCGATTAACCTAGATATCCAACCCGCTATGCGAGCCGACTAATCCCAGGGCGACCACCCGCTATGCGAGCCGACTAATCCCACGGCGACCACCCGCTATGCGAGCCGACTAATCCCAGGGCGACCACCCGCTATGCGAGCCGACTAATCCCAAGGCGACCACCCGCTTTGTGGGTAGTCCAGAGTCACCACATTTGAACCTCCTTAGCCATAAGGGGATTTTTATTCCTCCTTGGATTTGAACCTAGGACCTCCAGGCATTTTTGACCTTCGAAGCTCGAGGTCAAACCAATCGGGCACCATCCTTGTAGTTCAATTGAAGGTTTTTAAAGGTTCCTGACACACGATCACAAGAAACACGCACACACCCACACATGATAATACTCGGACTGTTGGAAAAAGAAAAAGGTGAAACTTTGGAAATTCGCAAAGAATTTGAAGATAATCTTTTTGGACAATTTCACACTTGGTTTCACTTAAAAACCAACAAAATTATTATCTGCTGGACCCCGAAAAGGTGATCAGTTGGTGCATCCCATCCCACAACTTGTAGACATTTTTTGAAACAAGGAAAGGGTAATGTAGGAATGTCAAAATTTTATACCGATGCGAATATTCCAAATAGGACTCCGTTTTTGGGGAAAGAAACTGTTAAGTGGACTCTTTTAGACTGAGGGACCAACTTTAAGCAAGCTATCTTTACTCCTAGGAAGCTTACACACAGAACACAAACCTGTTCTAGTGCAATTGTATTCCTACAAATCTGCTGAACCCCAAAAAGGTTGATGCGTTTCATCTCTGCCAAAGCCTGAAAGACAGTTTGAAATATTTATATGTCATAATCAATATAACGGTTATGATGATGCATTATGGTAGGAGGTCAAATAGATTAACAGCAGGCTTGCTGTGTGTAGACATGTTTCAGTGTGCGAGCGAGGGAATTGGTAAGATCTGCAAACTATGAAATTCTTTGAGCAGGGACTGCCCATTTGGCATATCAGAAATTAATACATAAAGATTGTGACATAATTTTAGCAACCCAAAATGAAAAAGTACAAACCTTGATGGATGCATGTGATGCAACACCACAGATTCCACCAAATACATAGTTCCGTTTTTGTGGAGCAATGAAAGGAGCAATGACCTCGTCTCTACGAGTTATCTAAGGCATCAAAAAGTTAATTAGAATATTGTGCAGGAGGTTTACGAAAATGAGAAAAAAAATGCTAATGTTTAGTGGAATAAGATGGTCTTGGAACATTTCACCATAAATGTTCATTGGAAAAAAGATGAAGGAGAAGGAAGTAAGAAGAAAAAGAGTGAACTATGTTTTCTGTCCCTGTGGTTTGTTAAAAAATGGGACTTTCGTCCCTGTAAGTGGCTTACCGTTAATCACGAGGGATGAAAACAACAATAAATTATAAACCACAGGGACGAAAACTGTAATATCAAAAGCACAGGGACAAAAATAGCATTCTTTAACAAACCACGGGGACGAAAAATGTAGTTTGCTAAAAAAACCAAGACATGATTATAGACTTTATCTATAGAAAGGAGAAACAACGCTCACCTGAGTGATTAAAGATATAACATAATCATCAGGTTCCTCAGCATCTTGGTCCTCTAAATATTCCCTTGTCGCCATTACCTGTTAACATGATACGATGTTAAAGATATCACCAATCCATTGTCTTCAATGGTGGACCATTGGACCTATAACATTACTTTACATGTGACGAACCTGCATATCGAAAACTGTTTCTAATTGCATCTCTACACGTAAAACCTTTAGGCAATCAATTGCCAGTTTTCTGTAATCCTCAGCAAATGATGCCAGATCCTTAGGAGGTAGACTGCTACTTCGTTTATGATGAAAAGGTGTCGGCTTAACATCATTTTCTACTTGATCAGATGCTTTTCCTGATGCATTCCCAAACCTGTATATTGCAGAGTGACGTAAAGCTTATATGTATACAACCAACAAAAGCATGTTGCATTGCAGAAGTCAATGGATGATGTGTAATCTGCATTCCAAAATCTCATCCCTTTGTGCCATGAGAAGTGTCATAATTTGATTTTTAGAGATCTCATATTAATTTTGTTGCTCCTTGTTTAGTAAAGCTTTAAACTCAAATTACTAAATTTTCCCTCCCAAAATCTCCAGTTAACTAAGATATTGATTTTGATCCTTGTGATCCAATTTACTACACAACTAAGAGCAAAATATTTCTTTTAGTATCTTTATTATGAATACTATATTGAAAATCTAAATTAAAATATGCTTGTCTTATTTATAAATAAGCCTAGTTTAAATCTCGCGCAAATCACAGGCCAACAACTAGTATCTAAAGAATTCAGTGTAGCACAATGGCTGTGTTCAAAAAAGCTCGCCACAACAACCGTCGTGGTGCGCAATGGCTTAAGGCTTGTGTCTCACTCCATGTTAAGCCTGTGGCACACCATAACCTAATGTGCGGTTTTTGTGACGCAATATTTGATTTGTTTTACTTATTTTAATGTCTTATTTGTTAGTTTCTAATATATAACATAATTTAAATTATTTAATGTCATTGACTTATTGAGTAATAGAAGAAAATATATGTTTATATGTATAATAATTTATATGATATAAAGATTTGCCGCAATAAGTCACGCCTTGAAAAATGCCGTGGCCTCGTCGTGGCTCCTAACGCTTGAGGCTTGATCTTGCCGCCACGCCACGCCTGACACCATTTAGAATCTGACAATGGTGAGCTTGCATATAACTTCCAATCATGTCTTTCATGGACTAAGGTGGTCCTATGGGATATATTGTCACTTCATGTTTCGAGCAATATAATCATATTATCATGTAATTTGTAGAGAAGAGGCACTTTAAGATGCTATATCCTACACTTTTGCTGGCTTTAACTTATGCACACACGAGCCTATTAAACCATAGCTTTGGGGCAAGCTACTAGGACCAGGAAGGGTCAATAATGTAAAAGTATCCTGAGAACGAAACTGAAGGTAAGTGTATTTCTTATATAAAAACTTGCCTTTCTATAGATTCAGCAATGTACTCCAACGAATCACTAAGGGAGGCCAACAATATGAGTTTGTTGTTATCACGAATCAAGGATTCCTGCAAAAGGAGATTATTGTAAGTGCCTGCTTATACACAAGTAGAGCACTAGACTAAAAACAGTTTGAACTTGGAACTTTATTGTCGAGTGTTAGTTTCAATAGCCTTCACCTTTTTTAAAGAACAGCCAAGAACCAAAAAATCATTAAGGACAACTAAAATAGAATCTGAGAACATTTAAAAGAAGAAAACCGACCTGTTTGATTGGCCTTAGTTTCATCAGTAGTTCACTCATTTCCAGCTCGATCCCATCAGTTTCAGCATCAGTGCCAGTGACATGACCATCTGCATTTGCCTGAGCAAGTGAAGTTGGCAAACACGCACTTGCTGGATGACGTCGCATCAGATTATCGATATCATGTCTTCCAATAAGCATATAACTTTGCTTCTCAAGAACTGCCTGATATATAACCAACCACAGAAAACTGAGGAACTTTAAGAATAAAAATTCACCAAGTTGAGAGAAAAAGATGAATAGATTCAACAATTCTAAAAATAGAAAATACTGGGAAGGTATTTGTATATGGGTGCGTATATATACAAGGTTAAACAAAAACCACTGAAAACACATAATTATCTCCTAACTCATACACTAAATGTATAAAATGAGAACATATAAACTTGAATGTAAGTCTTATCATGCGTTTACTTTTTCTTGGTGTCTGAGTCGCCTAAACTATGCAAAGACATGATGAAAGAGAGTTGCGCGGATGATGGAGAAAACAATGCAAATGAAGAAGAAATTAAAGAATTAGTCATGCCTCTGTATATGATGCCCGACATCTTTCGTAAGTTCTTTCAAGGAAGGTTTGCACATGCTTCACAAGGTCACCAGAAAATTTTGGCATTGCTTGAGCCCACCCAAGCACCTAGAATAATATTGTGCAAGTTAAAAACACATTAGTGTGACCAACATCGATGATGATTATAATAATGAGAACAAGGAGACAGTGAACAAGTGACTCCACAAACAAATGTCATTCTCTGTTTGCTTAAGCAAATATTAGCTTATAAACTACAATGTGTATATACAAGGAACTTCACTCATCTACTAAAATCATATGACTTGTTTGGTTGTATTATAACATCCATCATAAGCATGTGTATACTAAGCCACTAAATCACTTTCTGGTTAGTGAAAACAAGAAAGAGAAGATAAAAGAACATGCCTCTTTAGCCAGAAAATCTATGGTCAAAAGTCCTTGTAAGACAGGCCGTCCCTTAGAAACTGACGGGGAGTAAGCAGCAGCAGGATTTGCTCGTGGGCGAAATGCAGCTGGACCTACATAAAAAAATCCCAACTGGAAATTAGCTCCTCCATGAAGCAAAATAACAAAGCTAAAAGTAGAAATGAGCTTAGCAAATTACATTCTTAGTATTGCATAACTTTCTACAGCAATTATAGTGCCAAATGTTCTTTTGCATAATTTCTAGTATCAAAACAACTAAAATTGACTTTATGTCAGAATAACTTCTAAAATAAGATACCATATCATGACACAATCTTACAATTAAATATCTGAAAATTCTTCGAATCTCAAACTCAAAAAGAAGAAATAAGCAATGAATAGTATAGTAACCAAGTACTTGGTGAACAAAATGTTAAACAATGAACTGTCTATTCGTCCCATCTGGTAAACTATTAGCAACTAAATTGAAAGGTAAGGATTCATTGAACTTGCTTGATATTGCTTGTTGCACGCCTTTTCTGTAATCCACAAACATAGTTGGCAGGAAGTGATCTTTTACAAAGTTTTCAACAAACGCCAGCAACCCGTCATTCCTGCAACATAAGAGTACTGGTTGTATAAAAATACAGAAGTTAAAATAGAAGCGAATAGTGCATGATATCTATCTATGGTAGTCAAATAGATGTGCAAGCAGTTTAGTAAAACCTAAATAGAAAAAAGGGACAAGGTCAAGGTACTATAAGATGATGGTTGAATACACACGAAATCAGCACAAAGCTTACCCTAATTGAGAATACTTTTCAGGCAACATTAAAGCGATTTTATCTGTAAACTGCAAGTAGAAGGTCAATGAAGTAGAAAATATGTTACCCTGCATGGCTAACAAAAAATAGAGCAGATCTAAGTGGCCCAAACCTGTAGAACAGGACGGTATACAGATGCTGCTAGATATATGCCCTGCTCTGGTAGGAGGGAAGCTGAACCATAACCTTCTTGGACATTTTGACCTTTTCTATTCCGTCCTTGTAACCCTAAATGGTAGAAACACAGGAAAATAAGGAAGTGCAATTGTAATCCAAAAAGAAATTCTTTAGCAAACGAAAGGTTCTTTTTCCTGGATAATCCACTTGAGATGCTATATGGTAAGTGACAGTTTTACTATTCAAGGCCAGAACACCTTCTGAACATTCACATGCATAGAGGGTCCTAAATACACAACAAGTATAAAGGTTTCAAGGGTAAGAAACCAAAGGTGAGATGCTTGCGAAGGTTGACAATTTCAAGGCATAATATGATAAATATTTTCAGCAACAGAACAAAAGGAGACTATGCTTTCCATTCCAAACTGATGAGAAAAAAACTTCACAAATATAAGCAGAACACAAAGAAATAGCTAACATAAAGGCAAAGAGCAGTCTTGCATACCCTGGCTAGGAACGGATAGTGTAGCATCAGTGAAGCGAAAGGCGAATGTAAGGCCATCCTCCCTGCAACCACAAGTATTAATATTCTCTGTGTACGGAAAAAGGCTGTAAAATTATACAAGTCCCTAATGCATTAAGAATCCTTCATTTGTTTCCCCTTTAACGTTATACGGGATTTTGGCCACATCGTCATCAAGACCCCAACCCTCCAAATAAAGGATAAAGATTATAATAAATAAATAAACAGAAGAGCTCAGATACTTTCTCCAAGAGGTAGAATGCTCCAAATGCATATGAGGAGAAAAAAGCATAAAACAGAATTAAACTATAGTTTCTTGCCTCTTTTCTTTTGAAGGAGTCTTGTTTGCAAGTCTAGCTGTTTGAACAGCAGCATCAGCAGATGCAGCTTCAGGAGTTGCTCGCAAAATCTCACATATGAGTTGTTGGCATTCACTCTGTGATAGTTACCATGCAGTTTAACATCAGGAACTAAATATTGATATTCATAAGATTGGAAAAAGAGACTAGCACAACCGCCAAATAACTACCTGCAGAACCGTCATGGAAAACCCAATAGTGTAGCCTCCGGTGTCCCGAGATGCTTCAGAATCAGGGTTCCCAGATATCTCAGCCACCATAGATTTTGGTGTGTTCATGGGTGCTTGTTGAGAGGATTTTGATTCAAGAAGCTCTCCAACAACTACATGGTTATCTGAAAAATATAACAGTCGCAAATCATGATTACATCGAAACTATAGCAAGTGCACAAACACCCACCACCCACAAATTTATATATAAAGTTACTTATACTAACCAAATATCCGAACAATAGCATCCAGAATAGAATCAAGAAGTTCCTTTGCTGCAGACTGTGCCGCACCCATGGGAGCCATCACAGGCGAGACAGGGCTGACTGCCAATAGTGTTCCAGCTAACAATGTCCCATTCTTTTGTTTTTGTTTTGGTAGTTGGTAGCTCTGCAACTGTCCTTTTACATAGTGAAGACCTGTTGTAGCAGTTCGAGCAGCCTGGCCAACACCAGGCCTAGAAGAATTTACATAATCGGCTTGAGCTTTAATTTTTGATGTGATGATCTCATGAATTGTCGGTCTCAATCTTTGGCTATACATGAAAGATACAAAAAATGTGAATATCGGTGTCTAGATTTGAAACAACATAAAAAAAATGTAGCAAACAGACATATATTCTGTTAAAGTCTCTCCAGGCTTTCGAGTCAAATATCTAATCAATGCAAGTTTGTTAAAGATGGTGTGCTTATTGACAGGGAGCACGAAGAGTCAGATTTTTCTTGCTCATATTGCTTTGGTTTTTGTCAGTTTCTTTATCATACACACTCCATCTGAAAGAAATGCAACTTTTGACCCAACATCATCTTAACAGAGGTAGTTGAGTATCAGCAAGATGCCTACAATACCTTGCATTTAAGTCTCATATTAATTAACTAAACCTAGTCAACCAAAATACGAGCTACTTCATTTATTCGTACTGTTGCAGAGAGGTATTTTAACAGTGTTTTTCCAAAATGGCAACTCTGCATTTTGGGACAAAGCATTGCATTTGCATTTTCAGGGAACAAAATAAGTATCATGCTTTTGCCATCTAATATACATCATCTCATATAAGTCCTCTATTCACATCAAGCCAGTTGCCATTTATTAGATAGACAGATATCCACAACTAACAATTATTTTTCTTTTCCAATCATTCAACCACCAAGATGATCTTACACCCTTTGGTGCATGGTGTTCAGGACTTCAGGTCTAGAAACTAACAACTCGAAGAACATCAAACAAACTCTCTCCTGGCAGCATCTCCATACTCACGGTATTTTACATGAGGTTTTTCTTTCTTATTCTTAAGAAAGTCCACGGGATGAGTTGTTACAGTTTCTTTAAAGGATGGCTGCTTCCGACCCAGCCTCCTAGTTGTCATAGAAGGCAGAAAACTTATGTGGCTTGTTGCAGCTATTGCCCTATGGATGCCCAATGTAATAACTTCATTGGATTGGATTCTGAAACAAAAGAAACATTTCCCATATCAAGATTGAAAACTTTACACAATTTCATGTTGACTTCTCATTCCTTCTAGGTTTCTTGATTTTTACCACCAGTGTTCTCTTCATACTTCTCATTGTATTTGCTTCCATTTGTCACTAAAATTCCTTTGGTATTTTGATTCATATAGATTTATGTAGTATGTAATACAACCAAGTACACAGTGAAAAACCTTACATGATCTGCTAAGAGGAGAAAGTTCATAGTCATCCAAATGCATGAGAACTATGTTTCCTTTTCAGGAAGGAATATTAGGAGAATCAAAATACCATGAATAAATCTGCACAAATGTATTTACTTCCCAAAAATTTATTGCAAGGAGCATGAATGTAAATTATAGCAGCAAAAAGGAGCATCATAGACAGACAATATACCAGATTATAGCACCAGCAGCTGCAACTTTGCCAAGCATGCAAAGGCACTCAACCATGGTCTGCAAATACTTCACATGAGGAAGAGATTCACTTTTTCTCATTGTTTCCTACAATTAATCAGAAACCCAATATTATGCCTATTAAAGAAGAGAACCTTCTAGAATTTTACTGGCGAAGTTAGAAAGCTTGCACAGTTCATACAACAAATTCATCAGGAGTGGATTCTGAAAGCCATGTTGGAAGACGAGGAATATTCTTCATATCCTTTCCATTATTGTCAGCACCATCCTGAATGTCAAGTGTGCCATCGTCATCATGGCCGTCGTATGAGGAACTGAAATTAATTGAAAACAGAAACAAAAAGTGGCCACGTGCGTGAGTAAGCAAATGATATCAATAACCTTCAATTGTACCAAATTATTCTAAAATTATATGCTCATTTATGAAAAACTAAAGGCACTAGCATAAAAAAGTATACTCATTTATGAGTTCTTCCAGGTAACAGAAAATATCATAAAGATAAGTAGAGAACCCTGCACTTCTTTGTCCTTCTTAAGAATTCAGTTATGGAATTTCACCTACATCTGAAGTAAATTCCAAAAGTACTATTTTTCAGTGAGTTGGCTTTTGAGGGGGAATAATTTCCTATCTTATTAGAATTAAGAGAAGACTAACTAAAACTAACAAACATAGACGAAACTTATCCAATAAGTCCAACATTTATTCCTTCAGATGTGTCAATTGGGCAAATACGCCCATAGTGACTAGGATGAATATCTTGTATTGGAAAAGTAGCAATATAATGTATGGAATGAGTTTGACTATYGATTCATTAGTAAAAAACCCTCTCCAATTTTTGAATTGTCGAAGCAAGAACTTTATAAACATTCACAAAGATTCCCAAGCTAGAGAAAGAAGGTCTAGCCATCATTTGAAAGCTTTTGGATAATGCATTGATAAGATTATTAATAACCAGATAAAGAGTAAAAATAGCACAAAGGACTAAAGAAAGAAGCATTTGCTACAAGATGAACTCATTCATACATGCTAAAGTAGTTTATAGCTGAAATGGGATCCACACAAAATCAGCGAAGTGTAAGAGAGGTTCCCATAGAATTGTCATTAAGAACTGAGATTTCATCTTACCCTCCATCAACAGAACTAGCAAATCCAGATGCACCAACATGACTGTCACCTTTCTGCAATCTGGTTCTCCGGGAGAGTGACTGTGAATTATTCATTGAAAAAGCAGCAACTGTGGTGGTGGGAATAACATCATCCTTCTCATCCATACTAGGGGTAGCTGAGCTGCACTAAAAAATTATCAGTTCTACAAAATCCCTCTTTCTAGCAGCATCTTTTTTAATATGGTTGCTGCCAAAATCCGAATAACAATTGATAAAATGCAAGCCATAGCAAGCAAGAAGAAGATATATTTGATGCCAAAGCCAATGGATGCTCCTTTAGCTGCAACAAGATATTGGTACTGACAGCATGTAACATATAATTATAAATGGTGTGTCCATGTATGCTCGTATTTCCATGCACTAAAGATATAAATAGGATTTGTTGGGTAAGATTTATTAGCAAATCTCTTACATAACAAGTTGTAATTGAAACTGAATCACGAGGGACTAGGAAAAAGATCTCAATAATTGAACTTAAATCATGCAGACAGATTCTTAGTGTAGGAGCTAGGACTTTAAAAAAGGGCGTAATGGTGGCTAAAAGGTAAAAGGTAACTATGGCCAGATTGAGATACTGACTGCCGTGGGACTAGCGATGAGACACTGGTCTATGAAGCAAGCTGTTAGGGAGATATCCAAACGGCATACTGCTGAAATATACCATAAACATGAAAAGAAAGAAAGATAGTAGATTCCCTTGCCTTGTACTTCTTATTTAGAGAGTACCCGGGAATTTTATATACTTAACCCAGAACTTGGACAAATTTTTATACAAAACAAACACACAGATCCTGCATTTGCTTAGAATCATATTCTATCTGAAATGTGAAGCAATAACTTAGTCAAAGGAGACATCAATTGTCAGTTAGAACTGCATGTGATTTGCATCTCTTGCACAAAAGGATGCCACAGTTCTATGTGACCAATCACTTGAGAGAGCATTGGATGATCCACTTAAACAGCCCGAAATGAACTTAGGGGGAAGAACAACTTCAATATATTCTCTCCGCATTTATTGCGAACAGGGTGACAAAATGAAAATTCTTTATATGATCTACAAGCATGAAATAAATTCGGAACCCTCCAACATGTCAGGTAGAATGGTGAAGAAATCCTGCAAAAAAAATCAACCCCACGGCTGTTTCTCCATTTTATTCTTTCCAAAGTCTATAATATCCCAAAACGTTAAAGGTCTCAATGAAAGATCCCACTGAATTGAATTGGGTTCATCTACAAAATAGTTGTCAAATAGTCGTTTAGAGGGACTTGTTTTCATTGTTAGTCCCTCCCTATGAAGAACAAATTAACACCTCAGGTTTCTTTTCTTAGTCTTTACTAATACCAATGAATACATCCCCTGGCCAACTTAGATCACATATCAATGTCCTCATTATATATTATTCTCAGCTTATAATCCTTAGTGCTGCCCCCACAGTTCCTTTCTGAAATTAATTCTTTGAAGAAGCAAAAGGGAAAATCTTGAAGGAGTCGCAGATAAAAGATGTGCTTATGTAAACATAATTTTTTTCAGACTTCAGGAAGCTTGGTCAGGTTCAGCCTATATTTTACTTGTTGAGTAACTTTTAGCCCAGCTATAATTCTAAATATTTTACTTAAATATAATTTTATTAATTAAATTTAACGATGTCTTCTACATTCTTTGTCATCTGAAATTACTTCGACAGGTCTCAGCTAATGTTCTCTCTTTTTCCCGTTTGTGATGTCTAACTTATAAATAAAGAAATTGAAAAAAAAAATGAACTGACAGGAGTTGAAAACATTAATGAAGCAAACAATCTTAAGCACATCTAGAACCAGTCTCCAGATCAGCTTTTTGCGCCTTTCACAAAAATATTAAAGAATCTCCTGAATAGGGATTTCTGATATCGGTCTATAATAAACCAAACCAAACCAAATGAACCCGGTATACCCCACAAAGAGGTGGGATTTGGGAGGGTAGCATGTATGCAAACCTTGCCTGGGATAGAGAGACAGCATCTACAAGTCAATATTGTTATCTGATAGCTTATGGAGTACAAAGTGGGTAACATATTCAGGAGGGTATTTTGGTAAGTGTGTAGTAAACCATATGTGTTCCATGGTAACTCTCTTGATTTGACATTTGAGAGTTGAAGAAACCACTATACAAAGTTCACCTATCCTAGATTCTTACTTAAAATTGTGACCACATTAAACCATGCAAGAGTGCCATAAAAATATGGCGTTGCACAGGTAAAATAATTCATGGTAAATTTTGAATTCAAAATACGGAATTGAAGCATATGGGGTTGGAGAGAGTAATTGTAATGAGATAAGACAATGCCCAACACTATTTCGGCCCTTCCCATCCATGAGATCAGTAACATTGAAGAACATGGAAAGAAGCAAGTAATCATTGCAAAAAATGATTTAAGCAGAAAAATCAGAATTACCTATATTCACCGGTATTATAAAGATGAGCATGCAAAGCTTCCAGCACTTTGTAAAAGAGAACTCCACGCAATTTTGTCAGCTCAGATCGGACATCTTGAAGAGCACCAACCTGACCAAACCAACTAGGATGTAAATTTTCTAAGTTAAACTTAAACCTGTCTCAAAAGTCAAAAGGGAACCAAGTATTTAGATGCTTAATTTCATGTCTCCTTTAACATGAACCAAATTAGAACAATAGTGTAATTTTCACTCCTATGCGTTCGTCCTCTATTACATATTTGAAGATGAAAGATTGAAGTTATGATGTTCAAGTCACCAAATATGTCAAAAGGATGGCTTCTTTATCCTCCTATTATAGTTCTTATCTCAGAAACCTTTTTTGTGAATATGCACTTGCATTATCCCTTTAACATCTGTAATCAAGGGCTTGTAAACCTTGATCAACAGCAAGTTGGTAAACCTCCAATCCGGTTACATACACTAGGAGGGGTGTTAAGTAATTTGGGGTGTTCAATAAGTGGAAACAGAAGACTAGAATAAAGAAAGTGAGTTAGAGGCACTTTTGTAATTGGTAGTTGAGTAGTCTGTAGTAGCAGTGTATGAGTTGTAACTGGGTCAGAGTAAGTATTCTGTTTTGTACTCCCTTGGAGAGATCTCTGACCTCTCGAATGTCAAGGGTTTTCAATAGCATTCGATTAATTCCAGAAGCTTTTGCTGATTGATTCCACTTTATAACACAAGTAAAATAACAAATTCATTGTGCTAGGTTTTCACCTTGAACCACGGTAAGGTATCATACCTAGCATCTCTCTACAAAGTAGGGTGATGATCTAGAACCTTTTTAAATAAATTTAAATTTTACTCACCGTCTGAAGTCCCTCTCTTTCAAGCATTCTAGCTGATTGGACATGCAACTGAACTGCTGCGTAAAACTGATGATCATCAATAAGCTTGTTAATACGAGCTGGAACCTGAAACATATGAACAGTTGCAATCCAAGATCTTTAGTCTCCTAAACATGCAGCAGAAAATACAATTATATAAACTACAAAAAGTGAGCATTGCAGCCTGATGGGAAACAGGAAGCAAGCATATAGGCTTCAAACTTAGATGAATGCTAAACCATGTCCTGTTTCTTGAGTCATACTTTTATCAGCATATGATTAGAACAAATTGTAAGAGAAGCAACTAAACAAATATGGTAAAGCAGAATAGCACTTCATTTAAATAGCTACAATAAAAATCTTATCATCCCTATAAAACCAAGTTTCATCCTATAAAAAGGTTATTAATGTGAGTGAGGGTATGTGTTTGTATTTCTCCCCTCAGTTTGAAACAGACCTCCCCAGAAGGTAATTTTATTGTGGCCGATTGGCTTAGCTCTGGATCCTCCCTGCTTGCGGAAATGAATGAATCTATGTCCTAATTGGACAGTGAAAAGATGATCATTGATTCCTAAGCTTAAGCTCCGACCAAAACAACAATACAAATCATGAAATACGCCATTTAAAATTTGGCAGAGCCTATATTTATCTTCTTTGACAAGCGCAGTTTATGTATAGATCAAAACTTAAATATTAATTACAGATACTAGCTAGACTTACAGTCAACAAACACACTAGATGGGTTTGATGACAGAAGCAAACCCTTTTTTTCAACATTAACCTCAGCAACAGGAAAGAGAAGTTCAGTAAAATTTACAACAGAAGAGTTTTTTTCACACTGTTGATTGTGATGTAATAATGCTCAAGAGAGATGCCTTAGGTTATATTGAGTGTGACGCTCAGAAGATCCTCGATATCCCAGGTGTGAAGTTCAGAATCCCATGTTTTATTTGTGTTTTGCCTTAAATACACCCTCTTTAAAATCTTGTCCAGCATCATACAAGGTTAAATCTTTCTTGAAGCAAAAGAAATAATGAAATACTAGATGGAACAGTTAATAAAGTTAAAAGGCGACACAAACCTTAGCTATGTTCTCGATTTGATCTAGCAAGGAGATTATGTGCCTCAATGTCATGGAGCGATACCAAAGTTGATGCAACTGTTTATTACGAGCACCGATAACTCTTTTTGCATTACCCAAATCAACTTTTAGAGTCCGGATACTCTGAGTAGACTCACTAAATAACCTCAATATCTGTGAATAATTCTGAATTGCTCTGTTGAATCCACCATGATAAGTTTGAACAACTTCATCCACAACTTCCTCAACAATATCACTCTGGTCTTTCAATGCTTGGATTTCAGTCTCTCGGTCTTTTGAGGTCAAGATATGGACAACATGAGGTAACGAATCAAATCGTGCTACAGTCCAGCTCTCATCTACATTCTCGAGATCATCTCTCAAATACTGCAATAGAAAGAAACCATATATTAATATCAAACTAGATACTTCTACCATTCCAGGTAATACACACTTAACTATTTAGTCCTCGAAAATATACATACAGTTCTAATGATCTATAACAATCTTATAGCCAACTCTAAAAAGATAATGATGGTGTGCAGAGAACATTTTATCCCCAACTTTAAACTGCTATCTCACCACTATTACCCCCCCCCCCTCCCCAAAAAGAAAAAAACAGATCACTACCATTCTCAGTCAAGAGGCACGGGTCGAGTATCATACTTAAATTCAATGGAATTCCTCACTGTTCTAAGACTAAAAGCACCTTAAACTACATGACAAAGAAGGGATAAATACATTGGTGCAAGGTTAAATTGGAACTAACCTCTTTATCTTTAGGAACAGGCAATCCATCAAAGAGTCCCATAGCTCGAAATAGCTAAACAAACAAATCGAATTCAAAACAGGTCCCGGCCACAAATCAAAATTCTGCGAGTAAAGAAGAGATCAATTATATACAAATATATATATATATATATATATATTGCAACCCACTTGTGCGGAAAAGTCCGTTCACGAACGGCGAAGAGGATATAATAGCGATTGCTTACCGGAAAACAAGAGGAAGATGATGGTGATCGGAGGATCTGGAGGGAGGAGAGAGAACTAGAAGAGCTTGGTGGAGCTCCAGCAAATGGAGAAAAAGGGGGCACTGACAATCTTGTAACTATATGTATTCAACCATGGTTGAGTTTTCGAACTGCTGACCCTGACCAATCTCCGTCTGACTCAACACCATATCAGGACTCCGTAAACCTTCTACCGAACCGCGTCTAATGCGACAGGGTCAGGGGTAAAACAGTCCTTCCATTTTCTACGTACATAAAAAAAAAAAAACAAAATTAAATTACAAATTTCGTCCTTATGGTTATACAAAAATTACGGATTGGATCCCGTACTCTAATTGTGTTAACTAACCCTCCGTTAAGTGTCCACCGCGTGAGGGTAATTTGGTCCTTGCAATTTCTTTTTAATGAATTTTTTATAATACAAACCTAGATATGCCACTTGTACAAATATATGAAGCTTTTAAGGAAGAAAACCCAAAAACAATCGGCTTGTTTCATCCTCCGGCCACCGTCCCCATCACCGGTGTCATTCCGGTCATCTACTCCGGCAACTCACACACACAAACAACATAACCCAAAACCATATCGGTTTATAAAGTAAAACGGAAACCCAAATCGGTCTATAAAACGAAACCATATTTGTTTAAGAGCAAAATCAAATAGAAAAAATAGAACTGAAGCGGAACTAAAATTGGAACATAACAACAACTCAAACTATAGAATGGGTTTACACCCTTGAGTTCATCGACAAACCAAAACCAGATCCATATCTGGTGTGCATCGAGATTTTTATCGAGTTCTTTAGGTTTTTCTTCATTGTTTTACTTGATTGGTTGGTTAATATAATACCCGTCGAGAGAGAAAGGTTCAAACGAGAACATTCATATTTTATGAAAATACAAAAACACTTCTTGTCCTCCAAATTAGTTAACACTTAATAAAACATAAAATAAATGAAAATAAAAATTAATTAACTCATAATAAAAAATATAATCCCTTAAATTTTGTTATTATTATCGGAGACTTTTTATATCGATGTGTTCTTGTTGATAATGATATGATAATAATATGATAATGATTTGATAAATTGAAGATTGTTTATAATGTGATTTTGATGTGATAATCATCTAATGATCATGTCAGTTTTGTTGTGATAATCGAAACCAATGGTGATCATGTCTACATTGATCGACCTTTATGTTCATTATGTGATGTTGTGATAATTATTTGATACTGGTTTAGCGTATTATTTGTATGTGATTTTTTAGAGATAAGAATGTCAATAAAATTACAGATAAATACGAAATTAAACACATGATTATCCTTAATTAATTACTTTATTTTTTTAATTTAAATTGTGGGTTAAATATTTGGAGGACCGTAAATGTTCTCACATTCTCATAAAAATGGAGGTGTTCTCGTATGAACCTCCAACTATATATAGAGAGATGAGTTGTTATGCAATCTTTTACATTTGTACAACTCAATCTCAACCGTCCATTTAATATGATGAATATATGATTTTATAAAAGTTCTGATTGTTTTCTAATATAAAATATTGATCATAATTAATGAATCATAGTCATCATTCATAAACATTCAAATCATAATAAATGAACTCTCATCATTTCCATAAATATTTCAATTGATTGGGTTGCATAATTGCATTGGTTGTATAAATGTGAAGGGTTGCATATGAAACATTCCACACACACACACACCCATATATATATATATATATATATATAGAGAGAGAGAGAGAGAGAGTTAGGTTATTTTGTTAACTCAATTTTTAATGTCAACTATGTTAACCTAGTAGACCAATGGGATTCATTGTTCGTAGTAGGTTCCAATAAGATATTGATTATGAGATGATGGACATAAGGGTAGATTATACATACAAACAACCTCTTAATGTCGTTCTTTTATCATTAACTTGAAAACTAGAATTGGAGGGGTGCGTCAGGCCAACACAGTAGTGCAACACCAAGACGACAGTAAAGACCTCAATAGCAAGCTATTGTGATAAATCTTTCCCCATAAAAAATAAAATTAATATCGAGTGGACCAATGGTCCACATAACAGATATTAAACTGATAAGAACAGATACTACACTTGATCTTAGCCAAAAGGCCGAGAAAGGTATGCCTTCTCCCTACCTGCACCTTGGTTTTTATATGCGTCCCTCTGGACTTTGTAGCCCTTACTCAGATGATGTGGGACTCCCATCCACTCTTTACAGACGTTGGATGAAGCAAGCAATACGCCAATCTTCCTATTATATTATTTAATTTAATTTTGTTTCAAAATTATCACTTCGAATTTCGAACCTCAACATCTTGCTGCTCATGGTGTATCGACACCAGGAAGACATCCTCTCATAGACTTGACTCGAGTCTTGTCATGATCGCACACTCGATAAAAGAGCTTTACAAACGGCATTGCCCTTACCTTTTATAAAATTAACGAACAACAGTTTTTTATATCGACAAACCTATTCTAAAAATGAGCACTTTCCTTCGAGCATTCAATTCACATTTTTAAATCAGTCATTGATGATGCCATGTGAATCTCTAGTTGTAATATATTAAATAATTTTAGTTATACATTATACTTGTATCATTTGATGATGCCATGTGAATCTCTAGAAACATGTTAAATGTATGGCTAACCCAATAACGAAAGTTTCGTAAGGAGACTGGAGCAAACTACCACGAGACATAAGACCTTCTTCCTAAAGAGATTCGATTTGGAACTATTATATGTCCAAGGTTCAATCTTGAAATTTTTTCATTAATATTAACTATTGATTATTTAAAATTATTATTAATCATATCAATTATTTTTTAAAATATTATTCAATATACTAGTTATCAGAAAGAAAATTTAACAATTCTAATAATGTTTATGTAAGATACATAAAAATTAAAATTATACTTATTTTGTTTTATAGATAATAAAATCGTGTTAGATGATTTTAATAAAATATTTTTTGATTATTAATTCTAGTTTTTGAAAAAAAAAATACTAATTAATTAGGATATGTGAAGTTGACCAATTTTATTTTTATTTATATTATATGTAATGGTTATTAAAAATTATAATGTAGATTTTTTTTTCTAAAATTTGTTTTAACAAAATTCAAAATTTATAATATATATAATAATCAATTGAAAATTATTGTTATTAACATATTATGTTATTTTAATTTTTCTTTACTTAAGGGGTCGTTTATTAAACGCTTACCCAGTAAGTGCTTATTGGATAATTTTCCTTACCGGATGAATATGGCAAGGGTCAAAAATCTTACCCGGTAAGAACAATGATAAAGATGAAGAGTCTTACTCGGTAAGTGATGGTGATAACTCTTACCTGGGTAAGCGCTTACCGCGTAAATTATTAAATACAATATCATTTTGATATACTACAATCTTATCAGGTAAAATAAATTACAGTGTTGACTCATAACAGTAAGCACTTGCCGGATAAGCATATAGGTAAACGGCCCCTAACTTGCTTGCATTAAGATATTATATTATTAAATATTTGTTTTAATCATATTACAAAATATCGTAATTGACTAATTTTTCAAGATGTATTTTTTGATCATTTACATGTTTATCAGCTAGTTTTGTCAAATATGATTTATTTTCCAGGTCGCTTATTAGATAGTTTGTCAAACATAACCCAAAAAGGTTTTAGCCGGTCCAACTCCCAAAGGGTACCATTTGAAACAATTTTATTGCGGTTTTTTTGTTTTTTTATTAAATTTTTGTATTTTGGAACTCGAAAAACCAAATTAAAAGTACTTTTCAATTAAATCATCCAACCAATCAAATTTGAAGTTTTTCATGTTTGATATTACACAAAAAAAAATGATTTGATCATTGAAATCGTATCAAATGACAAATCAAACTTAAAAAAAGGTTACGAAAACATGGAAAATGTTACTAGTGAACAAAACAAAACAGTGTTTAGATCACTCATCAAGATTTATTGACATACGAGCCAACCATCATTTAGATTACACTGATTTACAAGCCAATCATCAATTAGATTACCCAACAAGATGAACAGATTTACGAGCCAATTCTTAGTTTGCGGAATATGAAACCATCCAAGATGATAAATATCCAAGGTCAAGACCACGTCCATTGCTCACATTACATGGAAGAAACACCAGTTGTGCTTTCAGAAAGTGATCCCTTTGCCCACCTTTTTAGCATGTTTAGAGCTGCCTTTGGTTGATCCATAGGAACCATATGACCCGCATCATGAACCTGTTGCATTAAACCAGAAATGTCAAACACATAATTCAAAGTTTAAAATACCAACAGCTTCACTCTAATTACAAAGTGTTCTCTAATAAGATAATTTATTTCTTGTGCTATATTAGATTGTGCAGCTTCATCGATAGAACTTTTTAAGTAGTATTGTACAAGACTCAAAAGTTTGTTGGTCTTATAAATGTAAATCCTATTAAGCACTTTATTAGGTTTAGATTTTTTTATAAAACCCATTTTATTGTAGCAGGTATCAGGTCCTAACTTCCTTCCCAGGCTTCAGAAAACACACATGCTAGAGGGGTACCTTAAGGAAAGTGAGTGGGCCATGGGTTTTGAATAAGCCAGCTTCAGAACCACCAACCATGAAAGGAACATCAGCAGATGCACCAAACTCTTTCTGACCACTCCATTCCATTGCATGAACCCATCTTGAATTGCCTGAACACATAAATTTATACAGATGAACAAGAATTAGATCAGTGATTTAACCATGTTTCTAATGATTTAACTTGGGCCGATGAGCACTAACCGAGCCAGTTGCAGATGAGGTCGTATTCTCCGGCATATACGAGCAACTTAATCCCATCTTCGAGGAGGTGAGGGATACCAGCTTCAAGATTCCTCATCCAGTCCATGATCATGGCCTGATATACAACAGGGCTGCAGGAAACAAAATCTATGTCACCCACTCCAAGAGCCTCCTTAACAGATTTCTTGCTAAGTAGGTTCTCCATGTTTGAAAAGTCATAGCAGAGGCTGCCCTCACACTCCTTTCTGATGTCATAATGCTGCATATTAGAAGTGATTCATATTTGGTTAGTATGCTTCATTGTTATATAGGTACTCATACTCATGGATTCTTGCATATTTATAGCTTTAGCATAAGATGTTTTTGTCGAATAGCGTTGTCACAAAAGGTCTCCATTAAAGCAAAGATATTCAAATATTGTGACTAAAATAGAGAAGAAATTGAGTTTCTTTACATTGATATTGCCAGCGACAGACTTGATCGAGCTAAAGATGGTGTTGCAAGCCAAGTATGCAGCCATACAAGCTATTGTTCCATCAGTGCCTGAGAAAAGAGCAGAAAGGATTCAATCTAGCAGGGTAGAACAGATCTACAGAAGCAACAGCAATATTTAATATGATATTACCACAAAGTTTAATTGCTGTCTCGCACGCTGGAAGTTTCGTGTTGATGTGTTTGTAATCAGACTCCTTAATTATTCCCATGTCTAGGGCATAATCAGTATACGCCTTGTACTGAACTAGTGGATCAGTGAGCCCATTTCCAATGGCAAATCCCTGTGGAATAACTCAAAAAGTAAAGGCACCAACTAAAATGATAAAACCCATGTTCGTTGTTAAAATATGTGGAACCCCTTTAATTTTCTCTCTAAAAGAGTCCTTATAGAGATGGTCCGTGTCTAGCCACTGTGAGACTCCAACATTAGTTAAGAGAACATTAAGCCCAAAGAGATACCTTCAGGTTTATATGGATTCCTTCCTTGGCTTTGTTTCCTTTGTTGACTCGAGCAGCAAAAGCAGGAATATAATGACCAGCATATGATTCTCCAGTTATATAAAAGTCATTCTTTGCAAATTCAGGATGCTCTTTGAAGAAGGCCTAAATCATAACACAATCACTAATCTTAATGGCTTTTCAACAAGATATTTGGAGTCGTGAATGGCCACAATTCTGCCAGGATTAGACATGCAATTTTCTAGTTCGGACATGAAAGTTCAAGGATTACTGTTGATATGCTATCAAAAGCTTCAAAAGATAACAATACAGACTTTAGATGATTTGAGATAATTGAGGGTGATCAAACAAAAGGAACAAAACTTTATCAAGAATCATTTATATAGGTCTTTTGTGTGCACACATATTCTTCAATGTTAAAGCTAAAAAGGAATGTCATCTAAACTGTAGCTTCTAGAAGTCCAATAAACAAAATCTTGAATCACATATAGCACTTCTTAATGGTGGAACCTGTAAGCGAAACAGGATAAAAAGGAAGCCAAACACTATTATATGTATGTTCCAATTTAAAGACTAAGAATGCATGACAGTTAAGGAATTATGGAATGATAAGACTGATGATTTCACAAATCGCAAGGTTTAAGAGTCATATAGGTCACTGCCAGAACCATTTTGATGAAGGCATATTGCTGCATGGTCACATACAATTAAGATCAAGAAAGGGAACAAACCTGTAAAAAGTCATACAGGTCATCACTCACACCCTGTTCATTGTGGCGAATGTCACGGTTATCAGAGCTATAACTAAAGCCGGTTCCAGTAGGCTGGTCAACATACAATAGGTTTGATGCCTGAATATCAACAAAACAAATAATGCTGTGTGGTAAGTCATAATATAAACATACGCAGAATGAACAATGCAAAAACACCAAGTTCAACWCCTTATAGCAACATCGACTCTAGAACATGGAAAACCAACATTTAAAACATCCATAGGAAGGAATTGGCTGGAGAAATCTTTGTATGTGGCTCTTGATACGAGATTAAATAAAAAGAAGCTCATGAATCATTAYCAAGCATTATGATGATGCAATGGTATGATTGTTGAGCATGCATCTTCTATTGACAATATGCAGCAASTGAAGATTAAATATCAAGAAAACCTTAATTTCTCACCTTTTTTARCATTGCAATRAAATGACCCTGAACAAACTTATATGAGCTGTAAGAGCTCCTCAGAAAATTACAATGAAAAAACTAAAGATTCATTTCCCTCTTACATCACTCCAGAAAAGCGAAAATGGAGATCCCTTTTTTCTCCTTAACAACTATGCAAATCTACAACTAATGTAAACAAAAATTCAGTTCAAGATATCTCAATCACGTATTCATGTGTCAACTAATATTGGGTGATGCGTAATTTTTGAAAAGGAACCAATGTTAAAATATTACATAAACAAGATAAAAGTACTGAACCCATATAGAAATAAACTGAATAAAACCATTGTCACCTGATCCCATCCATACTCATTCCAGACAAGAGAAGAGTTCTTTTCAATTTTGAAAGGACCATTTTCATAAAAGAGTGCAAGCTCGCTGCTACATCCTGGCCCTCCAGTTAGCCAGATAACGACAGGGTCTGTTTTGCGACTCCGTGATTCGAAGAAAAAGTAAAACATCCTACAAAACCCAAATATGCTTCTTAGATGCTATGATAAACAGGACTAACCCTTTTAGAAAGCAGAAACAGATGATATGAAGTGCGTATATTAAGAAAGAAAAACATCATAGCAATAGAGTTGACTGATTATCAATAATAAAATAAGAATAAAAATTCATGATATAGTGACAAACAGCAGATCTGCATCCAATTTCTACAGGCAGGTGATATTACAAAGGCTTTTTGCTCTATCATGACAATAAGCCTAACTGATGAATAAAACAAAAATATGTATGTGTGATCCATAACCTAGCACACCATGTCTCCATTTCCAAATAGAAAACTTATAACACGGAATGAATGAACAAAATGTCTCTCTAATATTCCAAGTCTGGCATTGTTTTCAATAGAATTCTGTTTACAGTCACTTCTAGCTTCTAAGTTTGAGATCCCGTTACCAAAAGTAATAATAAACCCAGGTTCAAAATCAGCAAGATGTTCGACGTACAAAGTACAAACATCTAAAAAAAACTTCAGTCAAGCATAATCACGAATTCATAAAAATTGAAAAAGAACACTATAAAAGGAGAAGTAAGTTAGTACCGAGCAGCATGAGAATGTTCAATCTGATAATAACCAGCGTGATGACCTAAATCATCAACAGATATGCCATTTGGATCGACTAAATTGGGAAACTTAAAACGTTTCTCAACTATCTTCTTCTGCTGAAAACTCGACGATCGCAACCCATCATCGTCCTCAACGATGTTGATCGAGCGTTCTGGGAACAAATTGAAGTCCCTGATCATCTTCTTGGCTAGAGTCGATGGAAAGCTAGGGTTGTCCAAACTAAGAGTCGTCGTCGAAGCAAGAGGTGCAAGAAGAAGAAGAAGAAGAGGGAGAAGAAGCATCAAATTCTCCATAATTAAGAGAAAACTTCAAGATTTGAAGAATTACAGAGATGGATGAAGGATTATATAGTGAAGTGCAGGGTTTGATGATGGAAAGGGAAAGGAGTGAAGAAGAAGGGAGTGCGTGTTACTTGTGTCTTGTGCGGAAGAAACGGTGACGTATTGCTTTTCTTCATAAGAAACTGCTTTTGCTTTAAAAGGCGGGAACCGTATTGCTTGGAGTGTTCTTCTACCATCTCATCCAACAAACTTTTGTGTTTTATTAAGTAGAGCGAATTATAGATTTGGTCCCTCATGTAAGTCATTTGTTATGAATTTGATCATTTATTTTTATTTTATTACAAAAAACCCCTCTATCTATGCAATTTGTTTTGGATGTGATCCTTCCTTCTAACATCCATCCACTCTCTCCGTTAAGTATGAGGGTAAGTTGGTCTTTTTATTACAAAAAAACCATCTATCTTATTTAGAGGCTGTTTTGCAGTTGCTAAATGATTTAGTGCAGAATAGTTAAGTGGTCAGAATTATTAAGAAGGCCATAATGGTTAAGTGTTGAATGAAATTATGTTGTTTGGTAACTGTTCTCTGAATGACAATAAATTACCATTTTAACCCCCCCCCCCAAATCTTGGTTTCATCTCTCAATTTCTGTTCTTTTTTATCTGGGGTGATGTTGATTAGTGGGTGCTTGTTGTAAACCTTTCCTTTTTCCATTTTCTCACTTGATTTGTGTGAAATATATCCATCAAACTACATAAAATAACAGTTGTTGGAGCGGCGACGTGCAGCGGGAGGCGACTGGCGACGGGCGGCGACGAGCGGTGACGACCGACGATCATAGGGTGGGGTGGCGATTTGCAGACCGGCGACGAGAGGGTGAGCGACGTGTGAGGTTCTTGGGAGAGAGGACAAAATTGGAAAAAGAAGACTCTGAATGGTTTAGAGAAGCCCCATATGCAAAATGGTTAAGAGGGGTTGTGTAACCATTAAGAGTTTTTTTTTTTTTTTTGCCAAACAACATAGACCTCTTACCGATTAAGAGGTTGGCTCTTAATGATGTAACCATTAAGAGCCAAACAAACAGCCCCTTACCCTTGTACTTAATGAAGACGATGGATGACTGTTTGTACAAGAGACCAAATCCATAACAAACTGCATAGGTGAAGGATTCTTTTGTAATAGTTAAAGATAAAGGATTAAATCCGTAACAGTTAACAAATCTGATGGATCAAATATGTACTTTACTCTTTTATTTATTTATTATTATCAAAGTGAACTACACATTTGGATATAAATTTATGGACTGTGTTTCTAATACGCTATTAATTATGATTTTAAGCCGTGTAGTTTGTATTAATCTCATAAATTATACATTTTGGGTAGCATTTTATACGCAAATATAACTGTATTAGATTGGACATGATCGATAAGAAGATCAAATTAAGATTGTTTTTTCTTAATTACATACTTTTTTGGGATATAAATTCTTGAAGACTTTAGAGATCTAGAATTCAAACGAAATAAAAAAGTCTTCCTAATAAACTCCTGAAAACCCATATAATTCAGATTAAAGTGTTATTTTTTTAAAGTTATTTACTTTTTAAAATCTGAATGCTACTTTTTTTTTTTTTTGGAATTTAGATGGGGATTAAATATATTGGACACATGGATGAAGTCATAAACAATAAAATTTCTTAAAAGAACACAAGAAAACAAACAAGAACAATCATATATCTACTCAAAACTAACTATGTAAGAGGCTGTTTATCTAACGTTTATTCGGGTAAGCATTTACCAAGTCACATTACTTTACTGGATGAATATGGTAAGAATTAAGAATCTTATCCGGTAATATCAAGATAAGGACCAAGAGTCTTACCTGGTAAGTGAAGATGACGACTCTTACCACCATAAGCGTTTACCGAGTAAATTGTTACATACGATGTTGTTAAAAAATTACTCCAACAATTATATTATCTTGTATGTTAAAAAATGAGAAAATATTAGAGAAATTGTAAAAAAAATAACTAAATAATTAACTGTGAAAACCCGAACCCTTCCATCTCCCAACTTTCATTCTATCAGTTGCATATCACCTCTCGCGTTTGCAGACTACCATCACCAAGCTTACATCTCTCGGTTGCAAAGTCCCCTAGTTTTCCATTCACGACAATAGGTACGTTTGGATGCTTTCCATCTCCCAACTTTCCATTTACTTCCTTTTTGTAGATATTGTGCCCGAAGTTGTAGGCTTGTGGTAATTTATTACGTTTTAATTTTTGTTTTATTATTGCTGTAACTATATTTGATTTCATCCCCTGAATTCTTCTATACATGGAATCAAACCAGGTATGTGATGATATATCAAAAGGTTAATCAAATGCATTTTTGGTTTGTTTTATTTTGTGAATTTGATGATGACTACCAACTGTTTGATGGAATGTAGGAATGTATACGGGTTGGATTCAGCTGTTTGTGATATTTATACAATTCAACCCAAGTATGATAGTTTGAAAAAATCTCTATCCAACCCAACTCATTCAAAAGTATAATACAACCCTTACGGGTTAGGGCGAGTTGAGTTGGTGGGTTATTAGTTACATAAATTTGACAAATCAAATAATTTACAAAACTTAAGTTTATAGAACCAAACTATAAAGTTGTCTATCTAAAAGTGTTACAATATGTTTATAAGATGTTTTTTGACGTCTCAACAAGTTTTTTTCTTGAACGCTTTTTAAGTAAAGCGTCATATTATCTATTTTATAGAACAATTTTGAGAAATGTCCTGTAAACTCATCTATTTATAAGACATTTTTGTTCATATGATATTTTTTTTTCTTCAAATAATGTCCTATAAAATAACTAATACAACATTTTATGTTAAAGGAGTCATAAAAACTTGTTAAGGCACCCGAAAACATCCTATATAAAATTGTAACACTTTTAAATATGATTTTTATTTTGTTTCATTCTATAAATTCAAGTCATATAAAGTATCGCGTTAGGGCGCTTAGACTTTTAGACGTCCTATAACTATTAGCATTTTTTTTTTACCAAAGTACAACATCAAATTGTGGAGTATTTAAATTGATAGATTCGCCAACCAAGTATCTATCATCATCATTCATATTATCTGACACATCCATACTATATGAATTGCACTCACAAAAATTGATCAAATGCATCTAGATATGCACAACATTAATATTAATCATCAATTAAGATTGATTCAAGGGTAAAAATACTTTTTTATCATTATTATTCTTACTGGAACTCAACCGGCCAACCCTATATAATTTTACAAACTCAACCTTGGATTATGGCATACTAATTGTTGAAGTCAAGGAGTAGAGGACGATGAGAGTTCACTAAGGGGTTGTTTATTTACCTCTTAATAGTTTTATTAAGAGACAATATATGAATGATTAAGAGGCGAATCTTGTTTGACAAAAAAAAGTTTGTCTTTTAATAATTCTAAAACCCTCTGAATGATTTTGTATCCAAAAACCCCCCTTAACCATTTAACACCCTAATTTCATTGTAAACAATCACCAGAGAATTATATTTCATTTTGCACTATATCATGAAAGTTTTTTAATCATTCTATATCAAATCATTCAGCAACTACCAAACAACCCCTTAATCAATATCCGGTAATGGGTATAGACTTCATCATCCACTTTATTGATGCTCTATTACCAAAAGAGAAACAAAAATCGAATTCTTCCATACAACGTTTTGATATCAAAATCATGATCAAATAGCAGTAGTACCACGATTTGCCATCATGACTTTGACTTTGACTTTATTAAAATACGATATTAAAATGTTTATTTCGTTATTATTATTATTATCATCCCAAAATTAAATACGATATTAACTTTGAGTTTGCGATACGAATGCCCATTGTCGAGGGCCATACGATCGGTTTTGTCTACATAGCTATAAAATCTCTATTTGATTACACTTATGATCTCACCGGATTAATCAGATATTTTTCCATCTGAATCAACCTCCTAATTAATTAGTAGTCGAACAAACCTTCATCCTGCCAGATATCAACAAGGAAGTCTACCATCTCCTGCAAATTCAACACAAAAATAACCACAACTGGTTCCCATATTTCAAACATCTGACAAACTCAGTGGCCACAATTGTTATGGACATCTAGAGTTAAACCCAAAGCAGATGGGATATTCTACCACGTTACTCTGGGCCTCAACCACAATGCCACAACCCTTGTGGTTATATTCGACCGTATTCCAAGATTCTTACCGGTAAAGGGACTGGCTCAGGGAATCTGTTGCCCATTGACAGCAAGTCTTCGTAAGTTGTTGACCAGCTGTATATATGATCCTAGAGTTACATTCGGTTGTTCGATGATGAACTAAACCAAGTTAAATACGACAAATCTAAGGAGCTGTTTACCCAAACGCTTATCCGATAAGCATTTACCGGTAAGATTCAACACTATCACTTGCCTTACCGGATAAGGTTTAGTCCATCAAAACGACATCGTATGCAACAATTTACCCGATAAGCACCAACCCGGTTAAGATTCGTGGTCGTTGTCATCACTCTTACCGGGTAAGATTCTCGGTGCTTGCCATGTTCATCCGGTTAGGTAATGTGACTTGGTAAGCTTACCGGGTAAGCACTTAGTAAAGCTCCCCTAAGTATGTCACTATCTTTTAGAAGGAAAATAATCACCTTATGATTGGATCTTTTGGCGTTTGTCGTGATTTTTGAGATTGATCTCCGATCCACTGTCTCCTACTCTCGTTCCAAGCAATCGCAGCTATTTATTCATTCAGACACCTATCAATATATCATATTTGAAACACGAATAATATCGCCATCCTATGTTATTTTTTGGTAACCATGGATGACCAAGTTGAAGTCAACTTGTGTGCACCTCCACTAATCCTGTAGGAAAGAGCCCAAAGACCTAGCATTTATTTGTCTGTTGGGTTGGCCATCAAAATTCATCTCCTTATTTCATCATAATTCTGACACTCAACTCGACTCATAGTTTAATAAAAAGTTATTTTGGACTGTTTGTGAAATATCCAAAATACCCTTTCACAATAAAACAGTTGTTACAAAGTTAAAAGACTTACCATGGTTGATAAATACAGGGGTGCTACTTTCGTTGTTTTCTTGGTTCTTCTTTGTTTCATTTCTAGGCGTCGTAATCTCCAAGGGTCGCTTCTCGGTGCACCTCGTACTCCTGTTATTGACTTCCATTATCATGATATCGTTAACTCGTGAACCTGCAGTGTTCACTTCCATCATTTTGGAAGTTAAAGACAACGTTTTTCGCTGTGACTTCTGGGAGGATTGTGTTTTTTTAGTATTCTTGTCGAAATTGCCTTATGACAGGATTGGTCTCGGTCAGAAAACTACGAATCTGCAGAAAACAAGGGTCCATTTTAAGGAACATTACATAGAGGAAGAAAGTATTGTTTCAACAGATAAACCAAATGAACCCGGTATATCTCACAACAGGTGGGGTCAAGGGATGAAATATACACAGAACTGACGGCTACCAAAAGAAGTATAACAACAAAACAAAATCTAAACTCTATATCCTCCACCACACTTTTATTTGCCACAATTTCAAGAATCATGGCAGAAGTCCAAAAAACTCAAAATCAATTATGTCAAATATAAACACATTCATTCCACAAAGAATCGAATGAACAACTGAATGCTACCAAAAGGGGCAAAGAGAGTTGAAATCCAATATCCATATCCTTCCAACAAAAGGTTTGTTAACCATCTCGATTTAGGGCACAAATCAAGGACTTCATGAATCATGATCATAAACCCTAAATCCACAAAAATCCCACCAACATTTCTAAATCAAAATCACAAACACCTCAAATACGACACAGCATCGTATGTTTATATACCCTAAACTAAATTCTCGCAGTTAATCTCTGTATTTTACCGATAACTTAGTATTACTGTTTTCTAATTAATCAAACAGCAAATCAGCCTGAACACATCGAATATGAAATCAAAGATAAAACCCACCACCAAAACCCTTGTCAAGAACGCAACTATATAGCACATTCTTCACCAAAACTTGAAGAAATCCACTAAAACCCATGATCAAATTTCTTAGCAAACAAAGTAGAAACAATCATTAACTTATTATAAACAATAAAGAAAGAAATGCAGAAGGATGGGGAGTCGTACCAGGTTGAAAAATGGCGAGATGGCGGAAAGGAAGGGAATGGAAGAGAGGTGAGGAGTGAGTTCATATAGACACGCTTGTTGTGAAGATTCCATTCCTTTAGAAGGTGTCGTGTTTCCTTCTGTGGCTGTCTCATTCGAATTCTGGTCTAATTGGGGCTACTGGCGTTGTTCTTGACGTGGATCTTGTGTGGATAAGCAAAAGGTTACTTGTAATCTTTTTCTTAAATTACATGATTGCCCTTGGTTGATGGAGGGTTTAGCTCTTTCAAACGCCTTGTCGGTGAGGTTGTTTTGGGCAGTTTACCATGACAAATCTTCCCATCAATTTTTTTCTTTCTATGAAACACCCTTAAAAAGATTGTAACATATCCCATCAATTTATATATAGATTAAATTATTATAATATTTATTTATTTTTAATATTTTTTCAAAAGTTTAATATTGATCAAAATATATTAAAATTATTTATTTTTCATTATAATTATTTTTGGAGTGTTCTCAAAATTCAAAGATTTTTAGAGCATCTTCAACAGATTTTTAAATGAAAGAAAGTAAATATTTTGGAGATTTTAGGCATTTTTTTTTCTAACAGATTCTTTAAAATAAAGAAAGTAATAAATAAAGTGTAAAAAATTTCAAAATTGAAGAATACCCAAAAGAAATTATTACAATGTGAGATAAAATATCTTTTTAATATATTTTAATGAATAAAAGACTTTGAAATTAAAGATATAGATGGTGAAATAATATTTTATTAAACAAGTGAAATATTTTAATAATATAATCAATGTTGTAATCTCCGACATGAATGTGTTTTTATTTTAGAGAATCTTAAGTTTCATTCTTTATTTTGGATAAGTTTTAGAAAATTTTGTTGAATATACTCTTAAAACTTCTCCAACAGATTCCCCAAAATGAAAAAACCAAAAGTTGAAAGCACTAAAAGGAACTACATTCATCTCCAACAGATTATTCAAAATTTCTCCAAAATGAAAAAAACCAAAAGTCGGAATCTCTAAAAAAATTGCATTAATCTCTAACAGATTCTTTGTTTAGGAAAATCTAACACTGATTACAATATTAAAATATTTCATCTATCTATTGAAATTTTATTTATCTCTATAAATAATTATTTTCAAAGTTTCCTATAGATAGAAATATATTAAAAATATTTCTCTAACATGGTAATTATTTTTGGGTAATCTCCATATTTAGATTTTAAAAAAACTTTTTATTTCCTACTTTCGTCATTTTGGAGATACTTTTGAGAATTTTTTTTTTTGAATCTCAATTTTAGTTCAAAATCTTCATTTTTTTCGTTTTGAAGAATCTGTTAGAGATGTTTTTACACTCTCTCTCTCTCTTACTTTCTCCATTTAAAAAATTTAAAGAATATGTTGGAACAAAAAAAATGCTAAAAATCTTTATTTTCTTTATTTTAAATAATCTGTTAGAGATTCTCTCATATGTTTAGTTAGCAATATGCTTTTAAAATGCAAGATTTTTAATGTTTATAAAAGATAAAATTACCATTTTTACAATCTCTAGTAAAAATTTCCTTTAACAAAAAAATAAATAAACAATAACGGAAAAAAAAAACTAACAGATTCTTGTAGTTGTTTGGATAAAAATTCGATTATCAGCAATCCTAACCAATCTTACATAGAATGCGTTTTCAAATACACCCATGTGAAGGAACATATTTTGATTCATTCAACGGTTGAGACTAGCGGGGGACCTGAGATTGAACTCATGACTTGTCTTGTATTTAAGCAAAGTTATCTCACTCTTTTGTCAACTAAATGTTATGTTTGGCAAACTGGTTGATAAGTTAATCGATAAACAAGCTATGTTTGTCAAAAACTAGCTAATAAACATGTAAAATGACATATAGAAAATTAGTCAATTACAATACTTTTTAGTATAATTAAAATAATATTTAATAATACAATATGTTAATACAAACAAGATAGTAAATGAAAAAGAAATATAATATAAATTAAAAGAATTTAAAATTTGATTATTATATATTTTGTAAATTTTGTATTTGTTAAAGCAATAATTTTAGAGGGAAAAAATCTACACTAGTTTATTATTTTTAGTAACCATTACATATAATATGAATAAAAGTAAAATTGGTTCACCTCACATATCATAATTAATTAGTAATTTTTTTAAAAATATAAATAATTTCTAAAAAATAAAATTAATAATTATTAAATATTTTATTAAAATCATTTAACACAACTTTATCATCTATTAAACAAAATAAGTATTACTTTAAATTCAATGGAAAAATGCGTGAAATAACAACTTACTTTTACAAATTTTCTTATTATAATATTTTACTTTCAGTTTTTTTTTTTTTTACAGTAATGTACTTTCAAAATGTTTTTTATTATGTCATCGTACCTTTAAAAATCTAACAAATTCTTTTAAAATCTTGAATAATTTGTTGGAGATTCTCTCATGTGTTTAGTTAGCAATATGCTTTTAAAATGCAAGATTTTTAATGTTTATAAAAGATAAAATTACCATTTTTATAATCTTTAGTGAAAATTTCCTTTAACAAAAAATAAATAAACAATAACGGAAAAAAAACTAACAATTTTTTGTAGTTGTTTGGGTAAAAATTTGATTATCAGCAATCTTAACCGATCTTACATGGAATGCGTCTTCAAATACACCCATGGGAAGGAACATATTTTGATTCATTCAACAGTTGAGATGAGCGGGGGACTTGAGATTGAACTCGTGACTTGTGTCGTATTTAGGCAAAGTTATCTCACTATTTTATCAATTAAATGTTATGTTTGATAAACTAGCTAATAAGTTAGTTGAATAACAAATCATGTTTGACAAAAACTAGTTAATAAACATGTAAAATGACAAAAAAATGACATATTGAAAAATTAATCAATTACAATACATTTTAGTATAATTAAAAAGAATACTTAATAATATAATATATTAATACAAACAAGATAGTAAATGAAAAAGAAATATAATATGAATTAAAATAATTTAAAATTTGATTATTGTATATATTGTAAATTTTGTATTTGTTAAAGCATTAATTTTAGAGGGAAAAAAATATACACTAATTTATAATTTTTAACTATTACATCTATATCTATACTGTCTTATAAAGCATTTGGCTAAAACTCTTAAAAACTCTTAAACTCGTTCATCCATATCCGATTTCATCCCATATCTGAATTCGTGTAACTAACTGCAGATAAATACAATCAAATACAGGATAAACATCACATTTTAAATATAAAAAATCTAAAATATAATTAATATAATCATTAAATTCTAACAGAATACTTAATTATTATCTTTATAAAATTTATAATATTAAACCAAAAATAAATTGTATATAAAAAAATATTCTATATTATAAATCATTTGACAAAAACTCTTAAAAACTACTTTTTATGTGTAAAGTATTGTTTATTAATGTATATCACTTAAAACTCAAGATTACAAATAATTGTGCATAGGTACAACTTATTAAAGCTTCATATTTGAATTCGTGTAACTAACTGCAGATAAATACAATCAAATACATGATAAACATCCCATTTTAAATATAAAAAATCTAAAATATAATTAGGATAATCATTGAGTTATAACAGAATACTTAATTATTATCTTTATAAAATGTTATAGTATTAAACCAAAAATAAATTATTTCATTATTAAACTTAAATTAAATTATAAAAAAATCTATAATCTATACTATATTATAAAGCATTTGGCTAAAACTCTTAAAAACTCTTAAACTCTTAAAACTCTTAAAC